TCAAATGAAACGCGAAAAAGGATGTTTATGGAACCACTCACAAAAAGGGAAACGAGTTTGCTTAAAAAAAACTCGCTAAGTGGGAAATAAAAGAGAAAATCAGCCGAAGTGGAAACCTCAAAACTCCAGACGCCGGTCGTGCAGGAATTAGACGCCAAGGGTCCGTCTGAAGATGAAAAAGCAAACGCGCCAGAACATGGAGCACTAAGCGCTCCTGAGTTGAAAGAGTCGAAAGAGGTGAAAGAGGTAGGAACCTTAGTTTTGTGTAAGATCATATTCCAGAATGTGCCGAAGAACTTCATTTTAGGAGAAGGAGAACCAGAAGCACGAAGAAAAGCATGAAGAAAAGCACGATGAAGAAATGTTGGGGTTTGAAGTGGAAAAAACTCTAGCAGTAAATTTCATGTTTCCTGGGGGATTATGGTGCCTCTGACTCACCCGATACTTTCAGGAACTAGAAAAAGAAGAATGGTATCATGGCTGTCTACCTCTTGAAGATATAATCGGCTTACTAGTAAATGATGGAGAATTTCTTATAAGGGGACATGACGTAATTCCAGGGGAAAGTGAAAAAAAATCGGATATTGTGGTAATAGTTTCGGAAATTCCATTGCAAAAACCGTAGGTACTTTGTCGCGGGATAAAACACATTCAAAAACTACTAAGGTTAATAGGGGTAAATCAGTCATGGTGTAGTAGCAAGTGTCGCACTAACACACCCTCTAAGTACGGGGTTTGAATCCCGGATCGATACTCGCCCAGGCCAACCGAGCCTCACATCCTGGTTAAGTGGTACGAGACTCGTTTGGGAGGATTTGGGAGGATAAAAAATCGACATCTTCATCGGCTGGCAACGCAAGTCATTGTATGGACCACATACGCAGCAAAACTACCACTAAGATTTTCAATTTTCCAAGTCCATTCCGCAATATCAAAGCCCAGTAGTTATCCGCAGTAGTTATGAATGATAGAGTCTTTGAGTTGTTCGATTTCGCTTTTGAGAATCGTCCCGCGTTCGACTTCCGTTCAGAATCGAAGTGACCTTTGAATGCGTATGGGTCCTACACAATTGCGGTGGCCAGCCAATGTTCAAGTCAGTGCTTTTATCCTTTCAGACGAGTCTGGTACCAATTAATCGATACCATAAGGATGGAAAGCTTGGCCGGCCTGAGCGGAGATCGGTCTAGGATTCGATCACTTGACTATGCCTGTGTGATAGTGTATCGCGTGCCACTACACCACCTCCATTCCTGGCAGTGATATTATCATAAACTTAGGAGAAATACATTGATTAGGGGCACAAGCAGAATTAAAGTTGATCTTAAGAAAATCAGAAAAATTTTCAGGCATTGGTCACTACCAAATGGGGAGGTAAAGTACAAGACTACCCTATACGTTATAAAACGTTGGATAAGACATATATCTTTACACTCGATGGTATTAACCAGATTAATGATATTATGAAGTTAGTAAGGTAAGGGCAGAATGTTCTCCAAAAAAAAAGTCAGCCATCAGGAAAACTTCACAGAATCCCTCTTGAACGGCCATTAAGTTTCACTAAAAAAATGGACCTGAGTAATTCCGTAGACGACATATATCTGTACACCCTCGAACCTGTTTCTGTNTTGGGATTTGAAGTGGAGAAAACTCTAGCAGTAAATATCATGTTTCCTGGGGGATTATGATGCCTCTGACTCACCCGATACTTTCAGGAACTAGAAAANAAAAAAAAAGTCAGCCATCAGGAAAACTTCACAGAATCCCTCTTGAACGGCCATTAAGTTTCACTAAAAAAATGGACCTGAGTAATTCCGTAGACGACATATATCTGTACACCCTCGAACCTGTTTCTGTCCCTAAAATGAGCGCCAGAAGGAACAACCGCAATCCATTCCATGGAACCGAGCCACAATTCTCACGCGTGGGTAACAAAAACTGAAAGCTGCTCCTGAATATCGAGAACATGTGACCAGGTCACGAATTCAACTATTTACTTTTACAATTGCGCCAGCAAAATCTCCTCCCTGAACTTGTGATTCGTTTCCTCATCAATTATCCTCGACATATTTCCCTTAACCAACGCAGAGGAACTTGTCGCCAATCTGACGGTCTCGCAGTCAGGAGGAGGATAATTTGAAACTTGGGAAACCTTCTAATTGGTGACCCCCCGAGATCACATTCGATTTTTAAGATTTCATGTATGGAGTGCAACACCAGTGAAAGATGAAGTTATGCTCAAAGCGCCAATTCCCAAACAGAAGTGGGAATTAAGAAAAGACAAGGTCAAAATGATCGAGAAGGTTGGTGCTGGCGCATTTGGTGAGGTATGGCGTGGAACACTGCAAGAAAACCCGAGGGTTCCTCCTGCCCAAGTCGCTATAAAAGTGGTGAGTTGATTATGAATTTTGCCTACCAAAAAAAAAANAAAAAAAAATAAATGGGTGGCGTTACTTCTCCTGGAATTCCCACGGTAAGCGGCAGTCGTTTCGCGGCGGCGACCGTATCCTTCCACTGAGGATTTAACCCTTCCGCTTAATAGTGCGCGGCTGCACGACACAATTTTCGGGAACAAGTTACCACAACCAAAGAAGTGTTGTCAAAAAGGAGGAGTGTGGGAGAAAACCTTGAGTTGTTGCCGATCAGTTTGACATTATAGAAAAAAGTTGACAACGAAAGCAAAGCAATGTTGGACGAAATGTACCGAGAAGCACGTATAATGAGACAGTATCGTCACAAGTGAGTATTCATTGGAACATTTCCATTGCCTTGTCCCCAGCAGAATGTGGCGGTGTGTTTCTCTAGGCTTGTCCCTTTGTTGTACTCCTTCCAAATTTGAATGCCTTAGACCCACGGGAACGGGGATTACGAACTTCAGATCCCGGTCAAACACACACAGACATCTAAAGGCACAGTTCACGGTAACTCCGAGGTACCCTTTTCAAGTTCAAAAATGGGAATATTGAGGTAGAGCGGTAAATCGAAGGGGAAAAGAGCAAGAAAAGCCGCCAAAAACCAGGTTTTCTCAAAGTAGTTAAAATATATAGCAGTTTCTCGAGCGGGAATGGCATGTATGGGGTATTTGGACGAGATTTCGCGTTCTTCAACTGAGCAAAGATCTAACTATAACAAGCTGAAATCGCCCGAAACTGCTTTTCACTGTCGCCATGGGTTATGACAAGTTATTTGAATTCACTATATGGGAGTCCCTTAGGATAGTGCAGACTCTACAACGCCGTTGAAACTCGTCCACAGTGGGTGTGGCATTCATACGATACAATCTCTGTTGGTGTGCCCTACACAGGACGTTTCTGACCTTATAACGGCCGGTGTACAATAAGGTGGGGTCTCGAACTCATACTATGGGGAAATCTCAGAAACCATTTTTATCGTGAAGTGTGCCTTTAAACACACCGACACACCTGCAGACACACCTAAGTAATTACAGATATTGAGTCATATAACGGAATTGAAAGAACCTCAGGGGCAATTTGCTTTCAGGAACGTGGTTAGGTTTTACGGAGTCGTGTATAGAGGTTCCGTCGATGCGATGATTGTTATGGAATATGTTCAAGGTGGAGCACTGAATGATTACTTGAAGAAAAACACAAACGTAGGTTCATCTAAACCTTATTTCGGATGTTTCACAATTACAACGCGATGCCAGTGATTTGGTAAAAATCTTTAATTGGACTTTGAACCAGGAGTTAAGGCCTTGGTCAATCTAACAGTTATATGAGGGTTGCCTTTTATATTTCGGGATTTGGAAACACTAGTGTAGCAATCTAGCAACTGACACCACTATCGTAAAGTATGACTATTTTGAGGTTCCGCTGCAAAATTTGAGCGCGATTTGTGTTGTTTACACTAAGTTATAAGGTTCTGTTTCGGCCAAGTTATGGAGTTGAACCGTGGGCATTTTCGCGCGATTATTTTCTGTAACTTTCAACGTGAACTAACTCAACAGCAATGCATGGATGAACTTGGTTCAATTTTTGGTGATGAAGCTCCATCCAGGGCCAGTGTTTATCGATGGTACAGTGAGTTCACCCGAGGTCGTAGTTCACTCGAAGACGAATTTCGTGGAGGTCGTCCAAAATAAGTTGTCGTTCCGGGAACAGTTCATGCTGTCATGTAACCTATCGTGAGACTAAGGCAACCTTGAGCATTAGTGGAACTAGCTTACATTCATTTTATCATGAACATTTGACTGTAAAAAGATCGTTGGCGTTGGATCCCACACCACGACAATACGAGTTCCAACACATCGGCTCAAACAACCGCATTTCAGCACTCAAAACAACGATTTGACAGGTCATGTAGACCCCGGGTGACTTCTTCTCATTCCGTACGTAAAAAATAAAATGAGAGGTCAACGTTTTCGACACCTGAAGAAGCCGTTGATGCGATCAGAATGCATGTTTTAGAGTTACCTTAATCAGAGTGGCAAAAGTGCTTCGAAAATTGGTTCGAGCCCATACAAAAGTGTATAGATCTTAATGTGGAGAATTTTGAAAGGCAGTCAAGCAATTTTCAATAAATAGTATTTGTTCCTGTTTTCAAATCCCGAAATATAAAAGGCAACCTACGTAAAGGTTAAAAAAAAAACGCCGGCTGCCATAAAGGGAAACTTTCATCCCACAGTCGATTCTAGCGGAGAGATAGTCAAGTAGGGTAGGCCCTGTCTTTTAGGAAAGAAAGAGTTCAATCTCTACTGATCCGAGCAACCATGACATGCATATTTGCAATAATGGTGTCGGTATAAGCGTCAAGCCCAGCTCTTGAGACATTATGCAACTTATATGAATAGTCTCAACAGTACTTACTGAGAAGACAGTAGGAACATCCGCTGAGGGAGGCAATGGAATTAAACGCTCAAGGGGAGCGACAACGACGTGCTCTCAAAGAGAAGTGGTAGAATCTGCCAAAAAAGAGCTCGCCGTTACTAAAGGAACAGCAGAAGATGTCGTAGATAGAAGGAGAAGGAGAAAACGTACAAGAACAGCCGATCCTGAGCGACAACTGTTCGATTGGATGTTTTCTAGAAAATATGAAAATGGTGCCCTATAGGCGTCTGCTTAAGGACATAATCAGGTATACCAGCCTGAATCCTGAGCTGAGGCGGCTAGTGCGCCATACAAATTGAATTATTTAAAGCTCAATTTCATGGTAGTGCTTAGTCAAAACCTTTATTTGAACCTTAAGGTGTCATCAAGAACGAGAATTAGCTATTCTATCGACGCTGCAACTGGTCTCGCCTATTTACATGCGAAAGGATGTATGCATAGGTGGGTTTAGATTTTCCCAAACCCTGGGCTACTCCTTTGATTCTAAAAATGTTGTGATGCAGGGACGTGGCCTGTCGGAATTGCCTTATCGACGTTTCGAAAGGTATTGTAAAACTCACCGATTTCGGTATGTCGAAGCAGGGAGACACCTATAACATTCCAATGGACGAAAAAGTTCCCGTAAAGTGGTAAGTGTAATTCGTAAAGTGCAACAAAAAATGGTGATCTTTCCCATGTTTACAGTTTAAGTCCATTCACAGAAAGCCCTTTCGAAACACGAAGAAGTGCAGCAGCTGCTGAGTGTTCCCGAAAAAACATTCGCATAAAACGCAACCACAGCAATTCCCACCCCACCCCCCC